TGTTTGTTAAGTATTTGAGCATGTATAAACTTTTTAGTCTTTTCCAAATACCATATACATTATTTTCGTCGTCATTATTGAGCACTTCATCTGACAAGTACAATCTGATTGAACTAGCCACCTTCTTATCCATGGCTGTCCAATCCTCAGTTTTCATGGTTTCAAGCTTTGTCTCTTTGTCATCTAATGCATTGTCTAACCCTCGTTTGATGAGCAGATCTTTCATCCTTCTATGCGATATGGAGAAACCATCATTACCATTGAATCTTATCACTTTTACTCGGATATTTTTTTGTCATAGAGTTAAATCGACCATAAATAATATTTCTGTGAATGAGTAGAACATGTACTTTGATACTAACTGTTGGAAAATAACCCACACAGAAATAATATTCACGTATACAATTATACTAAATGCGAATTACTAAAATACAGTAACTAACAGCAATAATAAGAGAAACAAGGATATCAAGATTTTTACATGAAAAACTTTTCTAATAAAGGAAAAACCTCACTCCTACAGGATCGGGATACTTTTTTTACGTATTACGAGAAGGTTGTTGAAGTAGGATCACAATGGCCATGGCTTTGAGGGAGGTTTAGCCTAGCCTCCGGCCAGAACCACACGTGCAAGTTTCCTTGCATGTGGCTCGTCCGTGCTTTTCGAGGCGCTGCCTGTGACTCAGCATGGGAGAAGGGGACGGAACTCTGATTTTACTAGCAAGGTTTTATAATTTATGATACCGAGTAAAATACTCCAAAATCACTATACAGTCAAAAGAAATAATTCTCTTATGATTTTTCACCTCACTATAATACCACTCAAACTCTCTATTTCTCTCACAAAGTATTTTTCTTCTCGCGCTTTGAATCGCTCTCTTATTTTCTCTGTTTGGTATGCCTTACAACTAAGAGTAAAGGCACCTATTTATAGTGCTTAGGATTACTTCATAGGTGCATTAGTGATGTCATGTTAATAGCAACAGTCAAATATAATATTGTGAAACTAAACAACGGTCTACTGTAAAAATCTTCCTTACTGTGCGCTTAGTTGGCTTGACAATTCAAAGCAAAGGAAGTTGTCTTCTTGTCACATGACATGGGATGGACCCATCATGAAGAAGTAGGATTTGGGTATAGAAAATTAGATTAGAATGGTAACCCATCATTTTTTTGAGAAATTTGGAGTGGGTATTGTTGTTTAGACTCGTTGGAAATAGTTTGAGGAGGTTGTCTGTAAAATTTATAGTCATTTGACGGAGATTTGGATTGATTTTGAACAAGAATTGCAACTGAAATCGTAAAAGAAGTTCGTCACTACAGCTAGAGATGGTTTTTATACATTGTTATATACTTTTATACCAGATTAATACATGTTTAATTATTATACACTTTTGTATAAGGTAAATGCATTATTAATATAAGTTTGTAAATACTGTATAATAATATATAAGAATGTATAAATATATAAGTTTGTAAACACTTTTGTATAGGTGCAATAACATGTTGTGCTGATATTTGAGCGCTAGCAAATCCCCCCTAATTAATTGAGGCTTCATATATATATATATATATATATATATATATATTCTTAACGGGTTAACGGATTATCCGTTAAGAAAATTGAATAATCCGCCCCCAAACCGATAAGCCGTTAATAAAAAAAATTCAATCTGTTCCCCGTCCGTTAAACCGTTAACCCGATACTAATAAGCCATTAAGTTTCGATTTCGGTTCGGTTTTCGGTTTCGATTCGATTTTGAACACCCCTACGTTTAGCAATCGAAAAGTCGCTATCAAAAGCCCTAAAGTCCCTGCGTGGAAAACCAACTCCAAATCTATGCGAAAGATCAATTTTCCTTGTAAGAGGATTCCCTATTCATGTGATAATAAACGATGGAATGCTGCACATAATGATGACAAATCGAAGGAGAATGATCAGAGGGATACAGTAAAGGGAACTGACAACTTGTTGTAACTAAACAACGAATATTTGAAGTATACAGAAGATGGAACTTCTCTTCTTCTGTTCTCTGAAGCTTTTCTTCCTGAACCTTAGGTTTTCCTCTTTGAACTATCTTAAGGCCTTTACATTTGCTCCATCTGACTGTCTTTTTGTATATCATTTTATTAGGATTATATTCCAGTCTTCTGTAGACATACTTAAATAAATGTTGATTCGATTTGTGCTGTTGAAACAAATAGGTTTAATTGGAACGAAGTGGGTAGTACAAAAACAAGGGGAAAGTGCTTCAGGACACTCAATCACGTAAGCAATAAACTAAGTTTAATTCTTTTCCTTCATTATTCTATGATCAATATTGTTGTTAACAGTCCATATTTTTCTTACCTTTAAAGAACCTTATAGACATAAGATGTTTGCTACCTCTGCATCAGGTATTGACATTCTCTGAATAAATATAGTTAAAACTATGATCTTCTCTTAACAATCATTAGTTTCCAGTATGAAATAACCTTGATGATATTTTTTTAATGTCTATGAACTAACAGTCTTTGTTCTTCCAGTTTTTATGGAAATCATGTTATGGTTTAGCAAATTGGAAGTTCCTAGGTTTTTGTGTGATCAGGGACCATGCTTCTCTGTTAGTGTATTGTGAATAACCATAGTACAAAGTTCCCCTAACTTTAGAAACTAAAAAAACAAACACAAGTTTGGCACAATTTATTTTAGATAGAGGAAAAAACCTACATTTGAAACAGAAAACTTTAGACATGATTTTAAGAAGCATAAGTTCTAACAACTAAATTCCTTTATAAACTGATGTATTTACTTGGTTTGGTTGCTAAAGTATTGCTCGTATTGAGTCTTTCACGGAGGCTCCGGTCACCATCTAAGACTTTCAAGGTTAAAATGATAGTCTAACATTTTAGCCTAGATCAGATCCTTGAGAGTTATCACTGTATTTCTTTACATCACCAATATATATTTTCCAAAGGGGTCATTTGATATTTATAGTATGGGATTGTTTTGAAGACCATTTTGTCTTAATTTACTATCACGGGTTTAATCAAAAGAGAAAAACAAGTTTCTGCTATGGGCTTAACATCTTTCCCTGAAAATCTCAAGACAATTATTTTCCTTTGAATGTATGATAATAAAATTTATAAGATGTACTAAAATTGCTTGATCGCCATAAGGGATTGCGGAAATGCATCATGTGAGCATGTCAAAATTAATTCATTGTTTTGAGCAACTTTTATGACGAAAACATAATTAAGAAGCAGGATGAAATAAGGTCACCCTATCTCGTAGTTTCAGATGATGTCCCGTATGCCTATATCATTTCATTAAACCTGTTATCAAGCAGAATTCCAGTGTTCTTGCATGAAGTAACAAAATACAGTTTGATCTTACATTCATGATTCATCCTTAATGTGGATCGGCAAAGTAAATTAAATCTTATTAAATGTTTATTCTTACCTCATTTCATTTAAATATTTGAACTTGCAATCATCTGGTGCAACTGACGCGCTCCCCACACCATGATTCAATGGAGCACATAAATTTTGAAACCTTGAAGAAGTTAATGAATCAGTACCCTGTCTATTACTGAATGTCGATATCAAAATACTTTACATCTATTTCCTATTGAATATCGTTTAAGTTCTGATCAAGATGTTTTGCAAAGCAAATAAACCGGTTATGATCTTATTAGAACCTATGAACATAATGGTGATGAGTAACAACTTCTTTTCATTCTAAAAATGTTCTTAGTACTCTATTTTTTAAAGTCCCCCGTATAACACATCTTCTCTTACTTTTTCAGAAAATTGAGTTACAAGTCCCCAGTCAACCCAGGCAGCAGCTGACGAGTTGTGCTTTTGCCTTGAAAACATAAACGTTAAGAGCGGATAGGAGTACCCGTACTCAAGTATTAAAGCTCTCACAGCGTTATAAATGTCATAGTTTTGAAGATATCAGAGGGAACGGTGTATGCAAGTTAACAACTCCAAAGCGAACAAGGGAAGATTTGCATAGAGAGGTACAACGACACTAAAAATGCTTCTATGGTTAAATCTGAGTAGTGTGAAGGATCCATGGTTTATGTCTATCAATGATATATGACATTTGTGTGCAGAAGCTTTAACTATAGTTTCCTTTTTTGATTTCAGCATATTTCAAAATATGGATCATGTGAACCATGTTACACAATGCAATATATTGGAAGTGAAGGGAATATAAACTTCGTCTATGCTGTTGATTTGGAATGACAAAGGCTCACTAGCTACTAAACTGGTCAAATAATAGACAATGTAATTGTGTTGTGCTTGAAAATACACATGTTTCATATCTTTTGGGTATTATATCTAATAATAGTTGGTTATGATTGTACTAAATAGCCTAGAGGCACAATGTTCTTGGGTTCTCTTTTGCAGATATTATACAGGAAAAAGAATTACTCTCATATTATTCTATTATGCACTTGATGTAAAAGTGATCTGGCATGGTTATTAATTTTTATTTTTATATGTAACACTAATGTATTGGTACCAGAACACTCAGAAAAAGAAGAAGCCGAATACTTATTTCTATGTGATACTTTCAGTTGGATTTTTTGTGTTTATTCTTTTCTATGTAATTTTTTCTTACATATTGGGCTTTTTTAATATTACATATGTATGTCTTCTATTATAAGTATATTTGTTTTATAGAATTTTGCTACAAGTTTTTTATCTTTCTATATCAACAAAAATTACAAAGAAATATGGGCAACATAACTAGTATATATATAATACATTAAATTTATAATCTATCATTTTATTGTTGTGTTGCCAATACGATATTAGATTTGGACACAGAGAACGGTACCTCCTTAACGAGGGAAAAGCTCAGGATAATAATATGAGGAGTTATTAATTAGGGGTTATATATGACCAAAACATTTGGATTTGTACTGCGTACTGTACTAGGTACCAGACATAATAAATTAATTATCGTCTTAACTTGTGAGTACATAGAAAGAACATAAATCAGGATGAAGAAAAAACAACAAAGAAAGTTGGCATATAATTCGGGGAAAAAATTAAAGGAATCAGAAATAGCATGATAATAACAGATTAACAAGTCCATATTGGACCTAAACATTTCAAGCTTTTCTTCAAAACAACCTAGAAAAACTTGGGCCGTTTATTAGCCTGGCGATGAACTTGTGAGCCGAGAAGCTCATCCAGAAGGTTGTTATCAAAATACTCAAATTCAATAACCTTCTCTTCATGATCATGTCCCTCCAATCTCACATTCTCTTGTTGATCAGAAGAAGCAGTAGCTGAAGAAGAAGATGGTAAAGAAGAAGAGGCCGACATGTGCGCGTTTCCCATGGATGACGCGTAGCTTGGTCCAGGACCTAGAGGTACTTTAGTATTATTATTGTGATGGTAATGTCCATCGTTTGGGAAGTTGAGGATGGCTTGGTGGCCCCTTAGAGAAAAGGCAGCCCGATCATATGCTCGGGCTGCCTCTTCAGCTGTTTCAAAGGTGCCTAGCCACAGGCGTGACCCGTTCCGGGTAGGGTCACGTATCTCCGCTGCATATTTTCCCCATGGCCTTCGTCGTATGCCTCGGTATTTGTTCTCTCTTCTTCCTCTCTGATCTTCGTTGGAGTCCATCACCTTGGTTATCTTGATCTAGTGTTTGTTTCTCGATTTTATGGCTTTAGTTTCTAAGGATAATGAATGTGCTAAAATGTGGAAGTTTAGGTATATGCATAGCAACTGCTATAAATAGCAATGTCGTAGTCATATTTGACCGTTGACCAAAGTGGATTCTATCTTGACTTCTTCCACAAAGGGTTCGGGTTTAGGGTCATGGGTGGCAACGTTGGTGATGGTGGCATGAAAGAATTGACTAGGCATAAAAATATATTTGGGCCTTACCCGATAAGCATTAAAGTTCAAGGAAAAATGTTTACAAATTGTACTAGGAATTTAACACATTCAAGAAAATGGAAGAGGGAATATAAGATGTAAAAATATTCGGTCATTATGAAACTATTTAGAAAAAATAATATTCCGTTTAAAAAAATTGGAAATCTAATTTTTGGTTCACAAACGAAAGATTAAATTCTCATTATTTGGATATACTATTACTTCTTGCGAATAAATGAGAAGTTATGGTCCAATTTGGTAGTCCGCCCAGTGCGAGAAACGATACTGCGACGGCCCAGTGTTTTTGCAGAGATTGAAGCGAATTAGTATTTGAAAAAGAAAACATTTTCGCGCAAAGCAACTTGGAGTATACATGCAGCTTCGAAGAAGCAGCAAAATAAACCTGCTTTAATTGGATATCTATAAAAAATTCTTACTTGAAAAGGATCTTTAATGAATTGAAGAAATAATTATCATAGAGCTAATATTCGTATTGTTTACCCTCAAAATCGGATAACAATTGAATTTGTAAGTGGTTATAAGGACATGTGGATTAACTTGATATAAAACGATAAATTAGATTACAATTGAAATAAATAGCGATAAATAACTGCAAATCATAGGAATTGGATGATTTCAGCTTAAGAATGCAAGCCACCCTTGAATTGAGTGCACTTTGATTGACACCAAGATAGCAAAGAAATAAGAATAACGGTAATGTACTGCTTATGAGTGTATGTTACAATGTGTCTAATGAATTGTCAAGTCCCCTTTATATTATGGGAGATCTACCTTTTAAGATATTATTTTATTATTCTGTAAAAAGCAAAAGTCATTGATTTGCGGACCGTTAGTTTCCTTTTTGAGTCGTTCCATGATTTCTGCCATAATGATTGGTTAATGGCGAGAATTACGGACTCCTGTCGGATGAGTTGGCAAAACTTTCTTCGAGGCCGTTGAAAACAGGACCGGTTACGCCTTCGGTAAACTCGAGGGCAAATGTGATGGTTTCGATGGCTAATTTTGACAATGCTTTGGGTTCGATCTTAATTACCATGTTTCGATCTTTGGCCGATCGTGTGGGGCGTTAGATCGATCTTTAAGCTAGACTTCACCCGATCATAGATATTTTGACCCTGGCCTAATCAAGGGGGTTCGGAAGCTCGATCAAATATCGAGCTCGGTTTTACCCGTATACAGATAGCCCCTTGCTTTTCAGCGAGTAGATGACGAGAAACGATATGAGCCTCAAATTCTCATTTTGATATATCATGACATAAGTGACAAAAACATGACGTCAAATCCCCTTGTTTTTCGGAGAGTAGATGACGAGAAACGATACGAGCTTCCGATTCTTACTCCGATAAATCATGACGACGAATTCGTGACGTAAGTGATAAGAATAGTTGAAACGTCCCGTCGGTCCAGTTTTCAAAGCATTAAATGTGTGTCAGTTAACGGTCGGCCGCTACAGTATGCGAACCGCCGTTGGAGAAAACTATAAATATCCCCTTTTATCCATTCATTAGAATTTTTACATTCACTCATTTGCTCTTGTGTTTTAAGAAAGCTTCATCACTCTCATCTTCTGGTTTTCTGAAAACTTAAGTTTTAAAACTTATTCCCTTCTGGTTTTCTGAAAGCTTTCATAAGTTATCTGCTAATTACACCTCCTTTTTTACCAATACCTTCTTTTCTCCGCTATTTAGAAGTAATGGCAAAGATTTAAAATTCGTTCCTCAAAAGGAAAACCCCTCTTCCTCGAGACCGTCTGAGAACATTTCGCCTGCTGTCACTAAAGAACCGACACCAGAACCCCCTCTAAAGATGTTCGGCCCCGCGGAGTGTCCAACCAGAGCTGTTTCAAGGTTAAGAAAACCTTCTTGGTACTGGGTCGGTGCGAGCCGGTCTCGAGGTACATATGTTCGGTCACCAACAGTGTCCTCAAGAAGGTCAAGGAGGACTACAACTGGGTCGTTAAGCTTGTAGTGGTCCCTACCCCCGATGAGTCGATCACCACCTACGTGTAGGGTTTTTTAAGTGTTTACACTTACCCTTTCACGTTGGGTCCTTAAGATCTGGTCATCATAGCCTTCTATAAGAGGTACAAGGTGACCCGCGGTCAAATTCATCCTTCGTTCTGGAGGATAGTAATTCTTCTCCGCTTCTTCGTGAGCAAGATCGAGGGATGTCCCTTTACCATCGACCACCTTATATGCATGTATAGCCACTGGCTCTACCGAGGGGGGTTAATCAAGTTTGCACGTTGGGCCATTAAGGCCCCTTTTTTGAGTATCGACGAGGATCGGGACCGAGGCTGGTTGGCTCGTTTTGTCCGAGTGAAGACCTCGGATTTTATCCCAGCCAAGCATCTGCCATTTCCTAAGAAGTTAAATATGAAGCGTAAGTTTAATTTTGCTTTTACGATTTCGCTCTATGTTCTTTTTCCTCCCCTCTCATCTATATTTTGCGGTGGTAAAGCTGTTGCTCGGATGCCGGATGCGGTTCCTCGACTCAAGGAATAGGTTGAGGGCATCGTGAGACAAAGACCTTATTCCGAGCGTTCATGGCGCGGGCTCTCGAAGGGCCGATGGAGGCCCATTACCATGGTAAGAGTTTTCTCAAGTGACTTTGATTTCCCTTTCGCGTTATCAACTTCTAATTACTTTTACTTCTTTTTTGCAGGTTTACCAAAAGATGCTGAGATGTGGCCTCTGTCCGGTAATGATGATATCTTCACCGAGCCCCCTGCCTCGGGGCAGGATAAAGAAAAGAAAAGAAAAAAGGTTCTGAGTTCTCCGGGCCCTGAGAAGAAGAGGACAAAGAAAAGATTGGCTCGTAAACCCAAGGGAAGTACCAGGGGTCGAGCACCATCCCCGGACTCACTCTATCAACTGAGGGACGAGTCCGAAGGGAAAGGAGAAGCCTTTGATTTCGTGACCAGTATGTCATCACAACCCGAAGGGCAAAGGGCCTCCGAACCAGGGTGAGGCGAGGCCGAATTTCATTATGAGGCCGAGGTAGAGGTAGAAGTTGAGGCTTCACAAAATACGGGAAAAGTGCCGTAGGAAGCACTTGGTCCGATAGAGATCGCCGAGTCGCCCTCGTTCATATAGTCGATGTTCAACGAGGCCCAAGTAGAAAAAGAATGCCCCGTCGAGGGAGCCCATAGATAGAATGACCCTTTTTCGTGGTTTTTTTGATGGTGTGGATTCAAAGGCCACGGAGGATGCCATTGGTTTTGGTGATTTAGAGATACCGAGGAAGAGCTCACCCTCTGAAGCAAGCGGGCCTTCCTCGAGACCAAAATTTGTCGATTGATTCCCTGCCCCTAGTGCATATCCTGATCGGATACGCAACGTTATTTTTTCACTTCTTGAGGATGCACGGGTCCTTTCCGTCCCTTAGGGGTGGCCAGCTATCTTTGGTGCCTGGTGACCGGGGATGATATGATGAACGAGGTGGATGCACCCTACATGTTCAACGAAGCCCAACAGGCGTTGAATCGGGTAACTTCGAATATCCCTTTATTATGTACTTGTAAGCCTCGGTAATATTTTCCCTTTATTAAATAATCGTAACATTTTCCTCTGTGCTTGCAGGCCTCGGTACTTCATCACGAGGTTTTTCTCCGATACCGGGATGTAACGACCCGGTCGGTCGTTTTGAAAATTTGAGCCCTGATCCTCTAATATCTGCTTTCCCCATATTCGTTTCTGCTTTTGGGACTTGCCAGAGTGATTGGTTATGGAATTCAGAGAGTTTTGGGACACTTAGTCCCTAGTTGTGAGTTTAAGCCTTAGAGTTTGGACTGTAGTCGGAACTGTGTAAAAATGGATCTAGAATGAAATTCCGTCGACTATGTTAGATCCGTTGAGTTATTTTGGAATTAGGAGCACGTCCGGAATGTGTTTTGGAGGTCTGTAGTAGATTTAGGCTTGAATTGGCGAAAGTTAGTTTTTCGGCGATTTTGAACGATAGTGGAAATTTTGATATCGAGCTCAAAATGGAATTCCGAAAGTGGTTATAGGTTCGTAATGTCATTTGTGACCTGTGTGTAAAATTTGAGGTCATTCGGACTAGATTTGATGTGGTTCGGCGTCGTTTGTAGAATTTAGAAAATTTTAAATTCTTAGGCTTGAATCCGTGCTTAATTCAGGGTTTTGGTGTTGTTCGATGTAGTTTGAAGGCTCGACTAAGTTCGTATGGTATTTTAGGAGTGGTTGGTATGTTTGGTTGAGGTCCCGGGGGCCTCGGGTGTGTTTCGTATGCTTAACGGGAAGAAATTTGGACTTAGGAAAATCTGGTGCATTGCTGGTTCTGGTGTTTCCTACCTGCAGATGGGAGTCCGCAGGTGCGGACTCGCAGGTGCGCTTGGGAGTTCGCAGATGCGAAATTGGACAAGGCATGCTGGGCTCGCAGGTGCGGCTGGTCGTCCGCAGAAGCAGAGCCACAGATGCGGCCCAGGGGTCGCAGATGCGGACCCAGCCCAATAAGTCACTTCCGCACCTGCGTTGATTTTTTCGCAGGTGCGAGACTGCAGATGCGGCCCCATGAGCACAGATGCGTAAATCGCTGGGCAGAAAAGGGGATTTCGAGGGTTTGATATTTCATAACACAAAATTTGATTTGAAGCTCGGTGGGAGACGATTTCTCGAGGGATTTTGAAGGAGAACTATTGGGTAACGAATTCTAACTCTATTTTGATCATAAAACAATAATATATTGATGTTTTCCTAGTCTAAATAAGGAATTTGAGGGTAAAAGTTTGGAAATGGGGGAAAAAGG